TCTTTCCCTCTCCCTCTCTCTCTCTCTCTCCCCACACACAAAATAAAAATAAAGAGTAAAATAAAAAAAGCTAATTAATAGTTATTCCTATAGTAGCAAAACATAGCCTCACTAAAATAAGGCAAAATATTTGTAAATTATTGGAAATTTCCTTTCTTTTTACAGTTTTATAACCATTAAGAATTCTACTCATGGGCCAGCAGGTTGCATGGTGGTTAAGGTGCTGGATCTCATGTGGCTAACTCTGTGGTTTGAGCCCTGGACCTGGTAGTGTGGAAATCATGCCAGGCTTGTGTGCGTGTATGTCCAAAATCCTGAGAGGAGAATAGACGAGAAGGGATTGCAGCATGGCCATCCCCCCATAGAGGTGATTTCTCACATTCCCTTTCTGTCCCTCTGTTTCTCTCAGGTGACTGCACATGCTCTATAGTAAAAGTTAAAATTAAAAAATAAATTTAAATAGATTTAGTCACTGAAGGTTACTATGTTATTTTTTTAAATGACAATAATTTTGAAATCATATATTATAAAAACACACAATATATTTACAAGTAAATAGATGTATAAACATTAAACATAATACCAAGTAAAGTTTTTAATACTAGGTCAGAAATTTTGCCTGAAAAAAGGCTAGGATGGCTCTCCTTATGAAACGTTATTTATTTCCTAAAAGTAGCTATAGTTTATACTATATTTTTTACTATGGTATTCACGTCATACCATACAAAAAAACTTTATTCAGAGTATATTTACTTATGATGTATATGTATATGACACATTGTATGTATATGACACATTGATGAATTTTCGTTAATAAATGGCAGTAGATAAATCCTTTTTGAAAAAAGGATAGACCCTGCTAGATACTGACTAGAGTTCATAGTATTCACATGTGAAGTAAAGACTAAAAACAGAAGTACTTGCTTTATTGATTCCACAATCAAATAGAAATATCCTAACTTCTCTGTTAAATGCTTTATTCTATAAGTTCATGACTGCTAGTGGAAATTTAAATATTATCAAAAAAACTTTTTGTATTTACATCACACTTCTTACTGGTTTTGTTTTCAATGAAATCCTAATTGCTCCAAAGATGATAAATGCTTTCTAATCTTATAAATGCAAATTTCTTTAAATGAATTTTATATTTTATTTAAAAGTGAGTGCACAAGAACAGTACACTCCTTGGGGAGTATACATAAAAATTGTGGAATACGACTTCTCCTCTCTTCAGACAATTATAAAGAAAATAATGTCAAGCCAGTGGTAGTTAAGGTCAAAACTAGAGAGACATTAAGCTATTTACTTATTAGAAATAAATTACATTAAGCTATTTATGTTAAGGTATTTTATGACAGGTTGAGCACATTTCATAAACAACTCTTAAGAGGAGGGAAAAAAGGCCAAACAGCTAATACTATTTATTTTGCCAAAATAACATGCTATCTTTAAACTCAGGAATACTGTATTTCCAAATTATTCCTTTACATAGTCAGATGCAGTTATAAAAGACTTCTGAATATCTACAAAACAAAATGTGAACAAACACACAGTACGCTGGAACCTTATTAATACTATCTTAAGAAATATTCTATATCTACCAAAATTCACGTAAGGTTGAACCAGTTTAAAATGACTTATTACTGAACCTAAAAATGATTTATGGGCTACATAATTTTATATTTTTTAATGAAATCCTTCTTAAAGATGTTGGCAACAATAAATACAAGGCTCCATGGGCTCACCAACAGGGTAATGTATTTTTTTTTTCAGAGCAACCTTTTAATCAAGAAATTCTACTACGTCTAATTTTTAAAGAATTCATGACAAAAACATCTACTTTATAGTGCCTGAAAAAAGCTCAGATAGAAATATAATTTAAAATGTTTCTAAGAGCAAGGATAAAAAGATGTACGAATGACTGGCCTTCCCAGTTTTTCCAAGAGGAATGATTTCACAAGGATCAGTTAGGCATAGAAACTTGACCAACTAAAGTAAAATTATCTATTATGTTGTGATTGTATACCCCTTACATAATCATTTTATCTGTACATATTTTGGAAAATTCGCCAGCACATGACATCTTCTGCTTAAGAAAATTTAACCAAAACGTTTATCTTAAACTCGAAAGTACTGATAAGCATCCCTATCTCAAAACAGTGAAAAATAAATAGCACTTCTTGGTTCACACATTCTTTTCTAAAAAGCCATGTATTATATTTTATGGACAATATAGAAGATTAACCTGTTCTCCTCTGCATGCCAAATTTCTCCAAAACATCTCTTAAAACAGTAGCTCAACATTTAAAAATGAATCAGAACTGTGATTCCTCAAAAAGGCAGTGTTCTTCACAATATGGGGTAGGATAGCCACAATATGGGGTAGAACAGTTTCCTCATCTTTGTCAGACTAGCTCAGAGTAGAAGGCTTTTCCCTTCAGAAAAAGTACTAAACACAAAAGTCTTAACATTAATAGTATCACACAATAATGCTATATTTCCAAAACTACATATTTTTTTCAATTTTGAATTCCTGAATTTAGAACTCCCTTACAATAAATTCATAATAAAAGAACAATTTATTTGAGTGTGCTTTGTCATCTATTTAAAAACAAATTCTCTCAAGACCATACTTATAATTTTCACAAGCACATAATTTTATACTTGCAAATGCAGAATGCTTTCCAAACCCACTTATTATTTAAATCCCAAAGAAAGCATAATCCAAAATTAGGGAAAAGTACTTTGTTTATACTTAATTTAAAAGTTTAGAGTGTAAAAGAGAAGTTCTATTCATAGTTCTAAGTTTACATGTCAAAGCCAACATGCCAAATAATACTTTCCTGTAATGGAATGACAATCCATGGAATGTGCTAAAAATAGTAAACACAGAATCCAAAAACTGTGTGTGTGTGGGGGGGGGAGGGGGGGTTCCCACCCCAGCAGGTGTTCCCTATTCTATAAAAGAAGATCAAATGACTTCTCAGCTTCCTTTCAATTCTAATTCTTTTTAAGTAAATCAATAATAATGAAATCAAATAACCATTAGCTTTACAATGATACAACCTCAGACATCACTTCTTTTTAACCTTTCAATAAAGACAAAATTTTATATAAAAGATCTCATCTAAAATATTCCCCTAAAAATTTTAAGAGGTTTATCTTAAAACATCCTTTAGTAACTGTAGTGAATTGAAAAGTGTCCCACAAAAATGTATTCTACCAGAAATCCATGAATAGAAAAGGGGTCTTTGTAGACATAATTAAGAATTTCCAGAAGAAACATCCTGCACTAGGGTGGGATCTAAATCCAATGACATTGTCCTTATAAGATAAAGATGACAGAGGCACAGGTTGAAGTGATGAGTAGAGAAGCCAAGGAATTCCACAAAGATTGTAGACAGCTCTCAGAAACTGGGAGTGGCATGGAATATACTTCCTCAAAGCCTCTAGAAGGAACCACCTCTCTTGACATTTTGATTTCAGACTGTGCCCTCCAGAAATGAGAGAACTTTTTAACTCAAGTTTGTGGTCATTTGCTACAGCAACCCTAGAAAACTAACATAATAATGTATTTCAGGAAAAACAAAGACCTCTTAAAAGGTTTTACAGTTAATACAATTTATCTTTGGCCACCATAAATATGAAATGAAAAATTATACAAATACTTTATCATTTTTGTATTTTAAATAAAACCCAACAAGTTGATTTTTAAACACACATGAATATCTAATTTACTGGGTTGTCAGAAAAGTCATGTTTTCTATATTTTTCTATGCAAAAATGCATCATGACTTTTCCGACAACCCAATTTAACTTAATATTTGTGTGTGTCTAGTCTACTTATGATTAAAATAATAGGTACTGAAATATTAAGCAACTTTTCAATCAAGAATATTACCTGATCATTAATAAATTTTTCCAAATACTTTATGATTACTTTCTGATGAGAATCAACAAATTAGTTCCAGTACTATGAAGCATAGCCAGTTTTCCTAACATTGTATATACAAAAAGTTTCCAACCTTTTGGGTGGCTAGCAGTATGTGACAGATATCATAAGATAATTATAAACAACTTTATTTTCCTATTATTCAAGGTTTTGAAGGTTTTCCTCTTTCTCAGTTCTTTTATCACTTAACTTCCCTGGATTTGTTATATACATGCTTAAGACATATATAAAAACCATGGTTTGAATTCTGCCTAAAATAAATTCCTTATCTACCTATTTAGTTGTTCCTTGTAGAAATACTCAATTAAATATTGAGTTTACTTTAAGAGTTGAGAATACTCCTGGCATTACCACATAAACCTCTGAATGTCTTGACTATTAGGCCACTGAAAAGTTTTGTTCAGAAAGATGTAAAAAGTTAGGAAATTCACAATTGCATAGCAACCCAGTTCACAAACAAGTCTAGATGTGGGTGGTAGAGGTATATTAAGCCTATAAATAATATAAGGTAAAATGAAGTAACGGAATTCTAGCAGTTTCTGAGGAACTATAACAGTGAACACGCATATGAAAAACACTAAATTCCAGAAAATCGATTTTGCTTTCAACGAGTCAGCTATACTCCAACCAGCAAATATATAGACTGGAACCAACAAATATCTCACGATATCGTATCTTTGAAAAACTCTTTTCCACACATAGAATGTATAATGTCTATTGTCAGCTAGCAAGTATTTATGAGCATAAGTGAATTTCCAAACTAAAAATATGGAAACTAAGGTAATCACAAAAAACTGAAGTCTACGTTTCCAAACTAAGCAAAGAAAAGCTTTAATTTTGCTAGGTGATAACAGGTGAGGAAAAGCAAAAAAGAGAGTAAAAGAGAAAAAGTAGAAGAGCTGAGGAAAATGAAGACAGGCTTCATGACTACTCCGATCACCAATAACAATTCCACCGTTAATCACTACAAAAGCACAAAACACAAATCCCAGAAGGATGTAGGGCCAAGTTAAAAGGAAAAGCATACTTAAGTTCTTAAAGGACATGGAATAAGCCAAAAGAAACTGAAGAATTTTTCTGAATTCTGAAAATGGTCCTTTAATAGGGGGGAGCCTCTCTTCCTTCTTCTTTTGTAGCTCAGTTTTCCAAGCTTCTGTTAGCTTTTGTGCGATGACATTTCCTGCACAGAAGACAGCCCAGATGATATTTGTCTGACGAAACATGAAGCCACAAAATCCAAGCAAGGCTGCAGTTTTATGATTTCCATAAAGACACATCAAATAGGCAAAAAGAGTAAAAAACAAGGATCCTGCTTCTGTATAATAAAGGAAATTAAAGAAGTAGAGCGTGGGAAATACTGCTAATGTTAATGTTGACAAGATTCTCTGGATACTTGAGGCACCCTTGAAGAAGAAAAAGTCGTAGTTAAATTATTTTCATGATAAACAAATATGCTATTTCTGCTGAGCTAATAAAGAAATCTATTAGGAAGCAAAAACCTACTTGAATCTCATTTGAATAAAAAAGTATTCATTATTGCTCTCTCTCTCAGAAGAAATCAATAAAACTTAAAAAAGAAAGTATCCTTTATTAATCTTACTTCTGACCACAATATACATTTAGAAGAACTTTTCCTGGTACTTTTTAGTTACACCTACTAGTTCAGAAGCCACTAAAACCAAACATGTAAGCCAAAGCTTTTATGACTTAAAATATTTTGAATCATTCAACAAATATGAGATCTTCAAAATGTTCACGGATAATGTAAAAAATTAGGGACTAGCAGATGGCATATGGTTACATCGCTGGACTCCCACATTGTCAACTGCAGTTCGAGTTCCAGACTTGGCTGCTTGAAAAATCACGCCAGGTGTGTGTGCATGTGTGCCCAAGATCCTGAGAGGAGAATGGAGGAGAAAGGATGGTGGAGTGGCCATCCTCCCTGGGGAGTGATTTCTCACTTTCCCTATTACTGTTTCTGCCTCTCTTTCAAGGGAGTGTACATGCCCTCAACAAAAACCTCTCAAAAAATAAAACAAAACAAAAACAAAACACTAAAAACTAAGTTTAGACTTCCAATTGTTTTTGCACAAAAATATACTCATACTGTCAAATTCATCTTTCAAAATATAAACTATTCAAAGTACTCTCTTGAAGTTAAGGAATTACTGAATGTATGACACAGAACTAAGTCCTATGGGGAATATACAGATAGAGAAGACACAGGAAAGATTCCCTGAGCTTCAGTCTTAGTACCTTTGATAAGCATATACTTGACTATCATTGTCAATTCCCTTTAAGAATATCCCTTTGAAACTCTACACTAGAAATAATATAACTATGAAAATGGCTTTTATACTACCATAACCAATTATTTTACTTTTTTATTTTGAAGTTACAAGGATTTTCCTGAAATTAGTGGGCCCATTCTAAAGTTAAATATCTTCTTTGGACCCTTTTGACTATTTCAGAATTTAAAAGTATTATCTTTTTGAAATGTCCCTCCACTTAATCTAAATCACCAAATCAAACTATGCCATTTCATTTATTAAAATTGTTTCCTCTATTACCTATTCTTGTTCAAAGTCCTCTCCAGGATATAAAAGGTCATTCATAAATGTCATTCATACCTTCCTAGCTGCTTGCTCCTCTAGCCTCACATTCCTGTATTTTTAAATCCTGTAGATCCAAATAGCAATTCCCACACCTTGTTGCTCAATGTTTTTGGCCTTTTGCTCACCCTATTTCCTCTGCTAGACTTAATTCCCCACCGTGCAGCCCTAGCCATTCATCAAGATTCAGCCCTGGTGCATCTCTGTGAAACTTTACCCAAGGCCACTCAGTCCCTTCTCAATTAATCCAATAATTGTTTCTGTGCTTCTTCTCTGCATCCTCGTAGTATTTTATTCCTACCTCCCTCTCAGAACTGATACTAATGAAATCATCTCTTTAAGAATAATTATTATAGTCAATATTTAGAGAGCCCTCACTATATATCAGGCACTACTCTAAAGCCCTTCCATTTATTAAGCTCCTTTGTTCTTCATAACACTTCTATGAAGTAAATTCCATTATTCTTCCCATGTAATAGATGAAGACATAGAGTCACTTAAGGGGTGACTTGCCCAAGGTAACACAACCAGTACATGGCAGAGACAGGATTGGGACCTGCATTCTTAAACTACATAAAATTCCTTAGGTAAAGGCTATTTTCCCTAATAAAGGTGAAAGTTTTGCAAGAAAAAGACAGCCTCATTTACCTCTTACAGTACGAGTGCCTAACATGATGAACAAGCTCTGAAATATTAGACTGGTTTGATTTCCTAACAAACAAATAAGAGTTATTCAAGTATTTCAACACAAATATCTTCCAAATTGGGAGTGGAGGACTTGCATTTATCTTCACAAAACATACATAAGTACTGCTTTAAAGACATGATTCACAAATCTCATAAAACTAAATCATATTGTGGACCTGACTACACACAAATTTGTAATGCATTGAAACATACCTTGTTTCTGGGTTGCACCTTGCGGAAAAGCAAGTAGAGTAAATAGAAATTGCCAACACTGAAGAGAAGATTAACAAATCTTAGCATTCCAAAGGAGCAGACAACATGTTCAGACCATCCAAAGATCCAGCTGGCAGGTTTGACCACTCCAACCGACACCAGGTATAAGCCAGGCAATGTGGTAATCATGGGATCCCACTTAAAGATGAAAGGTCCACAATGAAGCAAAATCAAGAGGTAACACCAAGAGAACAGACACACAGTCAAGCTCAGATTTCATCTTTACCAATAATAAGACATTTTGAGAAGTTTTTCTATGACATTGTTAAATAACTTCTCTGGAAATCAGATGACTCCACTATGGAAATTTGTGTGTGTCTGATGTGTGTGTGCTGCTGCACCTGCTGTGTGATTGTTAAGTTACAAGCAACCAACAGACAACTTAAAATGTTTCTATATATTTTCCAAGACCTGTTCTTAAGAAAGTCTGTATTTTGGTGACTAAATTGCAATTGCTCCAGTTTTAAAAAGCATCTAAACATTGGTTGGAACTCTGGTGGGCTGAGGGAAGGAAGTGTTTACAGACAGTGGACAGCAAACTCCTTTACAACTATACCGAGCCAGAATTACGCTAAACCCTCTGTATTTAACGCAAGATACTATTATTATTGCCATTTTGCAGATAAGTCACCTGAAACTCAGAAAATGTCCAGTCACAAAACTAGTAAACAGCACCAAGTTTCAAAACCTTGACCTAAAACAACAGATTTTATATTTCTAACCAGTAGCCTATATTGTGTTACCAGAGAAGGAAGGATATGTTTACTTTGTTTCTGCTTCTATGTATGTATTTCACTACTCAAATATTTATTTTAAAAAATAAGACTGGGTTATATATCTAGTTTTATATATATATATATACATCTATATATCTAGTTTTATCAGACTAGCTATAGATATAGATATAACTTTATCCATACACACAAACACACACACACACACACACACACACACACACACACACATATTATACTTAAATATATCCAGGGATGGAATTAGTGTAAATTTAACTTTTTGGTGGCTGAAGATCTTCCCATCCTACCCTCTTCCACCCCCAAAACAGTGAAGTGCTTGACAAATGAGCTAAAGTGACGTTTTTCGATGTATCCAACAAGTACCCCAAAATCTCCAATTCCAAGGCCGGGAAGACAAACTAAGACAGACATCATCCGTTGCCAAAAGAGCAGTAATTCGGTTCCTCATTAAATATTCTCCCAGATTACGCCTTCCCAGGAGACAAGTCCGCTCTTAACTCATTATTTAACAAATATTCGTATTCACAGATCTGAGCGACAGGAACAAAAGATAATCCAGTTGGTTTCACGTTTCATGGCTGGGAGGGTGTATCTGGGAGAGTTAAGAATAAGACGAGAGAAATCAGCGGAGGGAACGCTGGGCCCTCTCTGGCCTGTCCTGGGATGGGGACAGGTTGGGGACCCCACCTGCGAGAGGGAGAAATGGCCCTCACAGTAGCGCTGCGCCTGCGGCAGGTGGAAGATCTCGTCCATGTAGGGCTCTCGCAGCGCCCGGCTGAAGGCGGAGAAGGGGAGTAAAGACACTAAAAACGTACAGCTCAAGGCAGCCGAGAAATAGTAGCCCTCCAGCTGCGCCATTCCTGCCCCCATTGCCAACACCCTGGAACCCACTCCTGGAAAAATCTAAGCCTGGAAGGCCGAGCTTTAAACTCAGGATCGAAATGGGCGCGCAAGGCGGGACTGGCCGGACGCGACTGAGCACAACCGGAAAACAGAGGATGCTGGGAGAGCGCGGAGCCGGAAGGATCGGGTCAGTGCTTCCGGAGTGACGAGTTTATGTAACGGACCGTACAGTTGCCTGTCAATCACATTGCCTGGGGCGCACAGAATTGGCAAAGCCTCCAGGAGGGGCGTGTCTCGGGATCCGCCTGCGCTGGAGACCTGTGACTTTCTGCTTTGAAAGGAAAGCCGTTTCCCGATCCTTCAGGCCGCCTATTTTTAGCTCGATGTCATGTCTCACCAGAAGGTGGCGACGTTTCTCCACGTTTCCAATATCGAAACACAAAATTTACACATTTTTTTGCAGTTACTTCTGTAGTACCCAGTGATTTGAATTTCATTCATCCATTTTGGTGGACTTCAGGGGAGCGTTGGCTGTAGAAGCCAAGATTGAGACTCTCCTATCAAAACTTGAAAGAACAGAAACCCTCCGCTGCTGAATAAATGTAACCAACCGGTTATAGGATAATTTGGCGTTAAAAGAGAACGCTTGCCAATGTTAATACTCTCAAAAACGATTTAAATTAGAATCATAATGCACTCAGCCACATTTCAGTACTCTAGAAGTCTAGAACTCTTGCAAATGTTAATACTCTCAAAAACGATTTAAATTAGGGAACCAGCAGTTAGCGTAATGGCTATGTCGCTGGACTCCCACGTAGTCAACCGCGGTTCGCTACTGGACCCGGTGGCTTAAAACTCACGCCGGGCGCGTGTGCGTGCATGCCCAAGATCCCGAGAGGAGAATGGAGGAGAAGGGATTGCGGCCTGACCACCCCCCCTGGGGGGTGATTTCTCGCTTTCTGTCTCTATGTCTCTGTCTGTCTGGTGAGCGCAGGCGCCCTATAGCAAAAAAAAACCTCTCAAAAAAAAAAAAAAGATTCAAATTAGAATCATAATGCACTCTGTCACATTTCAGTACTCTAGAATTATTTTATAATACGTGGTGTTTTCAGTAAGGACTGTAAATTTGGTTGTTATTAATTTCTTTTGCAGCGTTCTGTGTGTTTCTTACTTAGGCGTAAGTATTTAATGAGTGGCATGATACAGAATGTGTGTTTGTAGCCCTCAAAAAGGCTTCCACAGTGCAGATGCTAATTACATTTGTAGATTTTTTTTTTGAGAGATTATTTTCGCTATAGGGCGCGTGTGCTCGCCAAACAGAGAGAGACACAGAGACAGAAAGCAAGAAATCACCCCTCCAGAGGGGATGGTCACGCTGCAATCCATTCTCCTCGCGGGCTCTTGGGCACGCACGCACACGCGCCTGGTGTGAGTTTTAAGCCGCCAGGTCTAGGACGCGAACCGTGATAGACTACATGGGAGTCCAGCAACATAGCCATTATGCTAACTGCTGGTTCCCACATTTGTAGATTCTTAATAGGTTATGTAGAGTTCTCACAATTCCTGTATTCTGAGGTTGGGGGCTGGAGGAAAAAGGTGAGAGAGGTTATTTGAAAAAGGCAGAAGATAAATTTTGTCTTGTAATTTTGCTTTGGTCGTGGTTGGCAATGTTTTGTAGAAAAATGTTTTCCAGGAAAGCTTAGAAAGGTTGCCTTTGGTGGGAAGACATCAAAAATGAGCCAAGATCTTGTCAGAATTGCAAACCCCTGGACCCCTTCTCATTTCAACTCTTTCTCTAGATCAAAGCTAATTCAATGTCTCAATTAAAGAAAGTTTCTCGAAGTAAACTGCCTATTCAGTCTCTGCCATTTCCTCATTAAGAGTAGGAGGTGAATAAACGTTGAGATGGGAACATTTAAGTTACTGGAATAAAATCATGTTAGGATCCTATCTATGATGTTTAGCTTTATTTCCCCATTGTCTCCTATCTTATTATTAAGTTTATTCTGTACTTACCTCCTTGAGATCATTTCTGGGTGATCAGTCTTCCATAGTTTCCTATGATCTACAATCATTGGACCCAGGTCCAGTGAACTGCTCAGTCATAATGTATATCTCTGCAGCTTACTGATTCTCCCTAGAAATAGTTGCCATTTTTTTAAGGGAGAAGAGTAAGCTAGACTTTCATGCTATTCATTTTATCCATAATAACTGACACCAAAATCTTAGATTGAACAGCTGACCCCTATGTTTCACCCCACCTGCCGCTTGATGTTAATTGAAAAAATTCCAAGGAAATACAGGTTTTTCAAACTGCTAGAAATCTTTATTAATATACTTGGCTTTATATAAGTTGATGTTAAAATAAGTTATTTACATGAAATTGTATAATAAAGTAGTGTCAGAGCAAAGGTAAGAATCAGAACATCAGACCAAGAATAATAAAATTATGCCATAGACTTTATAGTTTAAAATAATCTATAACTTATATTGAAATGAATGTCTCATTATTTCCAATAATCCTAAATTTATATTCCACCTCCACCCCATTTCCATAAATCAGGTTAAAAATACAGCTTTCTTTCCTTTTTATTTTTAAAATCCATTTTATAGACTAATTATATCAAAATCTGCTGGGGAGCCTTGTAAACAACTAGGTTCCAGGATACCAACTCAACCTACTGAATAATCTTCAAATGTAGAAACCATCACTGTGAAACGTATGACCAAAGAGGGCTAAGAAGCCAGATGAGTCCAATAGAGAAATTATAGAATATTTCATTACTTTGTTAACGAATTACTTTTACTATTTATACTATTTACAAGATGACGAAGCTTTCATCATTTTTATACATCTTTAATAACCTATAAATGCTTTTCCAAACTCTGATTCTAAATCTAGACCCCCCATTAAAACAATTACTTTTGGAGATTTTAATGAAGCAATTATATTTTATTATATCTGACTTTTAAACATTATTTAATTTTATTCATTATTATTATTTGAAATTTGCTTATAGGGCAGGCACACATGCTCACCAGAGAGAGAGAGAGAAAGCAAGCTACCAGGTCCAGTACTCAAACTACAGTCACCTGTAGGGCAGTCCAGTGCCTTAACTACCACACCACCTGCTGGCCCCTATATCTAACTTATAAAATTAGATCACATTGGGACTAGCAGATAGCAAAATGGCTACACTGCTGAACTCCTACATAGTCAACCAAGGTTTGACTATAGTTTGAGTCTCAGACCCAGCGGCTTTGAACTCACATCAGCTCTGTGTGCTGGCGTGCCCAAGATCCAGAGAGGAGAATGTAGGAGAAGAGTTTGAAGCGGAGGAGTCATACTCCCTGGGCGGGTGGCTTTTTGCTTTCCATCTTTCTGTTTCTCTGGCAAGCGCACATGTCCTATAGTAAAAATCTCTCCTTAAAAAATTACATCACCATTGGGGCCAGTAGATGGTGTAGTGGTTATGTCGCTGGACTCCCACATGGCCAACCACAGCTTCAGTCCTGACCCAGTGGCTTGAAACTCATGCCCAGTGCATGTTCATGTGTGCCCAAGATCTCCCAGGAGGACAATAGAAAGGAAGAGGTTGCAGTGGGGGCTTTTTGGGGGTGGGGAGGGGAGGTTAGGTGGTTCTTACTTTCCCTTTCATTGTCTCTGTCTCTCTCCTGTGAGAGCATGCTCCCTAAGGCAAAAAAATACTCTCATAAAAAAAGGAAAAGAAAAAAAAATAGATCACCATTAATGTTCCACATGATCTCCTTTAAGAAGTGCAACTTCTATTTTTTTTAAGAATTATTTTATTTAACTTTATTTATTTTAATTTGACCAGAAAGGGACAGAGCAATCAAGAGAGCAAGAGAGAGAAAGTGAGAAAGTAAGCTACCAGGTCCAGGACTCAAACCATGGTCAGCCATGTGAGAGTCCAGCGCCCTTAACCACCATGCCACCTGCCAGTCCCAACTTCTATTTTTCATAGATGGTTATTATCATGAAAAAGAGGCATTACTAGGATGAGGAACCCCATCTTCATTGAACATCAATTACATTCTTCATTTCTTATTTTGTGCTATCTACTTAAATTATGATGTAAGAGGGAACCAGCAGTTAGCGTAATGGCTATGGCGCTGGACTCCCACATAGTTGACTGCGGTTTGCGTCCCCAACCTGGTGGGTTAAAACTCACTCTGGGCGCGTGTGCATGTGTGCCCAAGATCCCGAGAGGAGAATGGAGGAGAAGGGATTGCGGCATGACCATCTCCCCTGGGGGGTGATTTCTCACTTTCTGTCTCTATGTCTGTCTCTGTCTGTCTGGCGAGCGCACGCACCCTATAGCGAAAACCTCTCCAAAAAAACAAATTATGATATAAGAAGTTTTGGCCAAAAAAAGGGGCAATTTCTGTTTGGGACTTAAGGATAAGTGTGAGCAAGAAGTAAATATTTGTTGGTTAATCCATTAAATTTTTACTTTTATTACTGCCACATAACCTAACCCACCTTTTCAAATTAAGACATTCCTAATTTGATAAACTCACATAACAGTGTGAACTCACATAACTATGTGAAAGTTTCATTTTTGAACAGTGAATTTTCTCTAAAGATTAGAATAATGATAACTGAGGAATTTGTGTATGTATTCTCTCATTTTGAAGTGCTAGTCTAAGTAATACCCTTCCTCATACTGAACCCTTTTTCACTTGCTGCTGAGTCAAAACACTGGCCACTTGATACTCAAAAATGGTGGTTGATTCAGTTCTAGGTGACAATTAGTTCTAGCTACATCAGGGCACTGCACCCCCACCCCAAATCATAGATGATAACCTCCAAAATACAGCTTAAATCTCGAGGTCACTCTTAACATATCACTGAGAAAAAAAAAAGAAAACAAAGTTAAACTTATTTAATGAGTAAATGTTAAACACATATGCAAATATACACACACACACACACACACACACACAATGCTGGTACAAAA